TTAAACCTCCAGCGAGCCAACTACTGCGTCATGATGGAGCCGGCCAGAACGATGGATATGGAGAAGCAGGCGGCCGCGCGGGTCAACCGGCGAGGACAGGATATGAAGTCTGTGACGGTTATGCTGTACGACGACCGGAACCTTGCCGAGTCGGTTCGGCTGTCGAGGAGGGCTAACCATGAAGAGATGCTGTCGTGGAAGGATAACGAAATACCCTGGGATAATTTTGTATCCGTGTAGAGCATACAAGGACTAGAATCTGTCGCGTTCAATTGCCATGGCTGACTTATCCTGCTCGGCTTGTCAAAATCATTGTACGAAGCCGCTGAATGTCTAGGGTCACGTGTGAGGTTATCTAGGCGCTCTTTGATGCCTTGACATAAAAATAAAAAAAAACGTTTTGTTTTATTAGCTTGATTTAGATATAGCTGCTTGGGTAGGTAGGATATTTGACGAGCATTAGCTGTCCATGCCCATTTCATTCCCTATCGCATAAGCCGTAACGACCACCTGTGATCTAGACACTTATGTCTATGAAATTATATATTTAGCTCTTATTCGCATTTTGTACATCTGGATCTGCTTGAGCCTCGAGCAGGACAGTCTGCATGCGTGGATATAATGTCTCATCTTCCTTTTGCCACCTGTTACCATTTGGAAACACGACCCTCCTCAATCTATTAACCCACGGGACTAATGGTTGGTAATACGGAGTAAAGCACTCCTCTGTCGTCTTGATAAAATCTCCTTCGTCAGATACCATTCCTTTCTTCAGACCTGCCAAATTCCCATCGCTTTCGTAGTTCCAACTTTCAAACTCAGTTCGACCAATGTCCTCGTTTGGCCCATTGTAATGGATACATATCCAAAACAACACCCAGAAGAAGGACTCGAGGTCGTGCATGAAGGAATGCTGCTCGCCCAGAAGCACCCCAATTGCCATAAAAGCCCTCGTACCGGTCTTTCCCTTCGCGCCCGAAGCACCCTCTCGCTGTACTTTGATGGCAAGGTCGAGATCGATCAAGAATCCTGAAGGGTTGCTACCATCCTCATTGATCATGATATTGTTGATTGATATGTCTCTGTGGAGGATGCCGGCCTCGAGCAATGACTTGTGTCCTTGTATGCAGCTCTCAAATGCAGCAAGGAGGGCCACACACGAGCTAGCTTTGTAAATGTTTTGCCCGTAGTCACGAACAATAACACGTCGATGGATGCGATTCAGCGGTGGACTGGGGTGGACTGGGTCTCTTTTCACCGGAGATTCCGAGCGGGATCGCTTGCTTGATGGCAGAGGCGCGCCAATTTGGCTAGATGACCTCTTGCTGCCCTGGGAAATCTGGGACGTGCGAGGCGTATTCAAATTCTGCGCCTTGTAGTTGGAGGCTTTGGTAATGTCCAATCCTTTTCGGATGCCAAGTTGGATGTCATCGACACTACCATCAACGCGGATGGTCTCGTGGTAGTAGTACCGGGCGACGTTACAAACACCCTTCTCGGTTGCCTCGCGCAACAACTCTCCCTCCACGTCCCGTTCGGGGAATTGCCACGAATCTTTGATTACAAGCATCGTGGACGGGTCCCCTTCTGGGTAAGCCTTCCAGCATGTGGTGGCCCGGCCTACGATGCAAGACAATCGTCCCATAAACTTGTCAATCACGATGCGTTCCGGTGTTCCGTTCCGGATAATCTCAATACACCGTCCGTCATTGAACGGAGTAAAGGTTGGGTCGAATCCCAAGTCCTTCTCGTCCATCCATAAAAAGCCGAGCATCGTCGACACGAACCGTAGCCCATCTTTATTAATATCGAACTGCGTCGAGGCAATTCCGCCAAGGCGATCAAACTCCCACACGCGCATGAGAGATCCGCAGAGAGTAAAAGCCGGGACAAAGCGTCTGGTATCTTGCGTGGCAAATACCTCCCTCACGTATTTCCCGATGTCGAACCACGCGCCGGTTTGGCAGTCGTCCTTTGAATTGCTTTTCAGTTCCCCGGGGATGAGAACCTGAGACCAATGCGCCTTGGCCTCGGGGTGGCTCAAAATGGCAAAATCCAGTTTACGCTGAGCCGTTGAGCCGTCGAGCGGCTTA